ACACTGTTCAGAGAGGTGTACTGTTTTCCCTCCTTGTAAATCTCACATTTGATGATGGACCACAGGTTCTCAATGGGGTTCAGATCAGGTGAACAAGGAGGCCATGTCATTAGATTTTCTTCTTTTATACCCTTTCTTGCCAGCCACGCTGTGGAGTACTTGGACGCGTGTGATGGAGCATTGTCCTGCATGAAAATCATGTTTTTCTTGAAGGATGCAGACTTCTTCCTGTACCACTGCTTGAAGAAGGTGTCTTCCAGGAACTGGCAGTAGGACTGGGAGTTGAGCTTGACTCCATCCTCAACCCGAAAAGGCCCCACAAGCTCATCTTTGATGATACCAGCCCAAACCAGTACTCCACCTCCACCTTGCTGGCGTCTGAGTCGGACTGGAGCTCTCTGCCCTTTACCAATCCAGCCACGGGCCCATCCATCTGGCCCATCAAGACTCACTCTCTTTCATCAGTCCATAAAACCTTAGAAAAATCAGTCTTGAGATATTTCTTGGCCCAGTCTTGACGTTTCAGCTTGTGTGTCTTGTTCAGTGGTGGTCGTCTTTCAGCCTTTCTTACCTTGGCCATGTCTCTGAGTATTGCACACCTTGTGCTTTTGGGCACTCCAGTGATGTTGCAGCTCTGAAATATGGCCAAACTGGTGGCAAGTGGCATCGTGGCAGCTGCACGCTTGACTTTTCTCAGTTCATGGGCAGCTATTTTGCGCCTTGGTTTTTCCACACGCTTCTTGCGACCCTGTTGACTATTTTGAATGAAACGCTTGATTGTTCGATGATCACGCTTCAGAAGCTTTGCAATTTTAAGAGTGCTGCATCCCTCTGCAAGATATCTCACTATTTTTGACTTTTCTGAGCCTGTCAAGTCCTTCTTTTGACCCATTTTGCCAAAGGAAAGGAAGTTGCCTAATAATTATGCACACCTGATATAGGGTGTTGATGTCATTAGACCACACCCCTTCTCATTACAGAGATGCACATCACCTAATATGCTTAATTGGTAGTAGGCTTTCGAGCCTATACAGCTTGGAGTAAGACAACATGCATAAAGAGGATGATGTGGTCAAAATACTCATTTGCCTAATAATTCTGCACTCCCTGTATACACACACAGGTGATACTCGAAAAATTTGAATATCGTGCAAAAGTTCATTTATTTCAGTAATGCAACGTAAAAGGGGAAACTAATATTTGAGATAGACGCATTACATGCAAAGCAAGATAGTTCAAGCCGTGATTTGTCATAAGTGCAAGGATTATGGCTTACAGGTCATGAAAACCCCAAATCCACAATCTCATAAATTAGAATATTACATGCAATCAATAAAGCAAGGAGTGTACATAGAACAATATCGAACCTCTGAAAAGTATAAGCATGCATATGGACTCAGTACTTGGTTTGGGCCCCTTTTGCAGCAATTACTGCCTCAATGCGGTGTGGCATGGAAGCTATCAGCCTGTGGCACTGCTGAGGTGTTATGGAAGACCAGGATGCTTCAATAGCGGCCTTCAGCTCTTCTGCATTGCTCGGTCTCATGTCTCTCATCTTTCTCTTGGCAATGCCCCATAGATTCTCTATGGTCAGGCGAGTTTGCTGGCCAATCAAGCACAGTAATCCCACAGTCATTGAACCAGGCTTTGGTGCCTTTGGCAGCTTTTCCTGCTGGAAAATGAAGTCAGTATCCCCATAAAGCTCGTCTGCGGAAGGAATCAAAAAGTGCTCAAAAATCTCCTGGCCTGGTAGATGGCTGCATTGACCCTGGACTTAATGAAGCACAGTGGACCAACACCAGCAGATGACATGGCTCCCAAAATCAACACAGACTGTGGAATCTTCACACTCTTGCAGTGTGTGCCTCTCCATTCTTCCTCCAGACTCTGGGTCCTTGGTTTCCAAATGAGATGCAAAAGTTGCTCTCATCAGAAAAGAGGACTTTGGACCACTGAGCAACAGACCAGGTCTGTTTTTCTTTAGCCCAGGTAAAATGCTTCTGACGTATGTTGTTCAGAAGCGGCTTGACAAGAGGAATACGACATCTGAAGCCCATGTCCAGGATTCGTCTGTCTGTGGTGGCTCTTGATGCACTGACTCCAGCCCCAGTCCACTCCTTGTGAAAGTCCCCAACACATCTGAATGGCCTTTTCCTGACCATCCTCTCCAGGCTGCAGTCATCCCTGCTGCTTGTGCTGATTAGAGTGGGACACTGTGAGCCAAGAATATTGCACCTTTTCACTATATATTCTAATTTACTGAGATTGTGGGTTTGGGGTTTTCATGAGCTGTAAGCCATAATCATTGCACTTATGACAAATCACGGCTTGAACTATCTTGCTTTGCATGTAATGTGTCTATCTCATATATTAGTTTTGCCTTTTACGTTGCATTACTGAAATAAATGAACTTTTGCACGATATTCTAATTTTTCAAGTATCACATATATATATATATATATATATATATATATATATATATATGTGTGTGTGTGTGTGTGTGTGTGTGTGTGTTTTAAAAAATGTGGACACTGCACGACTATCTCGGTGTTATGTGGTTAAGGAGTTCTGTGGAGTGTGGGCATTATATGATTAGACGTGACCTAGCTTATTGCAGCACAAACAAGTACTTTATAATAGTTAAATCCTAAAGATAATACTGGAGTTAAATATGTTGAAATATATATGATAAAGTAAGTTAAAAATTTAAATAAAAAGATAGACAAATACAATGAATTGAACAGAATACAGACATAAATAAAAAAGAAATCAAAGAATGTATCTAGAATTTAGGGAAAAGAAAACTAAGCAAAACAAAAAAAATGAAATAAAATTGAAAGCAGTCACAATGTAGAGCAGGTATCAACCTAGAATAAAAATGGTACAGGGGCATGACTGCTGACCCTCTCCCTTCCGTTACCCTTCCCCCCAATAACTCACAGACAACCAACTTGTGGGTAAAGGCAACGGCCACAGCTTTTATTAGAAAGCCAGCATAACTTAAACAACTGTCAGATGCTGGACTTTTTCAGCAGACAGCTAAGCATAACTTTATTCTTCCCGAGCCTCTTCAGCCTGAAATCCGTCCAGACCAGGCTGCAACTCCCCAAACCTGTCCAGGCAATGATCTCAGTTCCACTTGCTATCAAAGGACAAACCACCACGCGGTCCCCTATCTTTGGAGAGAACTGCGTCCCCCCAAAGCCAGCACCTGTTCAATGGCTGACTGTAGTCCCAAATTGAAAATATCCAACCCAGTTTCATTCAGGTGGACCCCATCTGTCCTCATTAGGTTTGAGTTGTCCCCTTCCAGCCAGGGATGGACTGACAACTCATTGGGCCCCTGGGCAATAAAAGATTATGGGCCCATCTTGTACAAACCAACTTGCAAACTACTCAAATATACATCACACCCACAACCCACATGTTCATCCTTGTGTTACAGATAAGGGCTCTCATAGGCGACAAGGGCTCTAATGGGGGAACAGGCGTTTTAGTGGGATTATAGGGGTTGTAATTGGGGATAGAGAGTAGTGTGGGGCTTGGGAGGTTATGGGCTGTCATGGGGGATAGGGGCTGTAGTGGGGCGGTAGAGGCTGTAGTGGTGCCATAGGGGATGTAGTGGGTGGAGAATAGCTGTAGTGGGGTATGGGGGTTGTAATTGGGGATAGAGTCTGTATTGTCAACGTTAAAGGGAATCTCCAGTGCCAGGAAAACATTCCTGTAGGTTTTTATCTATTTATATTAAGACTACTATACAGTGAGCACTATCGGCTGTCTCTTCTTCTTTTTCGTATTTGAGAGTTGGACACCACAGACGGAGAGATACCCACGACATATCCTACAAGCGGGGATTAAACCGCTGTATGCGCTTTTATCCTAGAGCTGGACATAAGCTCTACCAAATGTGAGTTCTCTACTATTAATTCTAAGTACGTCACTATAGGAATTATACAATATTGCACAATTGGTCGTCCCTCTCTCTCTCTTTTTTGTCTTCTACATAAGCGGAACTAATACAGTCTATGAAGACTCCACTATTGCACTTTCCATTATAAAGACCACCCAGAAGGACACTTAAGTTGGACTTTTTATTGTATTTATTTTACTGTGGCGCAGCCTTTTTTATTGTTGTTTTAACCTGTCTTGTTTTAAAAGGGTTTGGAGGGTTTCCCTTTTTTGAAGGTTGCTGCCTGTTAGTTAATCAGCGCTGTCTCTATTTTACTTTTTCTCTAAATATAGATACAGAGACACACACAAACATATACAGATACACAGACGCACACCGACACACATACAGCTACAAGGACACACAGTGGCGTAACTAAATAGAGAGGGTCCTGGTGCAAGAAATATTTGCCCCCCCCCCATTGCAAGGATGGACAAAAAGGTAGATTCCCATCTGTCATACAACTAGTGCAATACTTTGCCAGCTGGGGATCTACCATTTGCCCATCCTCGCAGGGTTGTATTTAGTACTAAGCAGTGTTTGTATGTTGGATTGTAAGTATTTTCTTGTATGGAGTATGTGTGTGTGAATTTAGAGGTGTATAATATTGTGTTGTGTGTTTTTATGTACTGTGTAGTGTTTGATTTTGAATATGGCACATACACTGCCATATAAAAAAAAACACACATAACGACACACACTGACACAGATACACAGACACACATGCATATACACACACAGATACACAGGTACAGTCATGCTGATACAGACACACATAGATACACAATAACACATATACCAATATGCAAGCACACACACACTAACACACATACAGATACAAAACACACACACACTAACACACATACAGATACACAAACACACACATATAGATAAACACACTAAAAATACAAATACGCAGCCTTACACATAGACACACAGATAGCATTGCATAGTTACCACCCCTCCTGCTTTCATACCTTTTTGATGCAGGAGGTTTTTTTTCCCTGGTGTCCAGTGGCATCTGGCTGAATGTGATGGGAGTCAGGCTCACCTTCCTCTGCTGCTGCCCCTTGGTCTCCCTCTCTCTCTCTTCCAGCAGCTTGCATGTAAGAAGGGAGGAGACTTCCTCCCAGCAGAGCAGCAATGCATAGATCAGGGGCCTGGACGCACTGAAATAGGGATCCCTGATAATTTTTCTTCCATTGTTGCGGCCCGTGCAGGAGGCGCACATCAACGTCAATACGTGACATAGCGCGCCTCCGCGCACTGGGCCGCATTCACTATCTCCTCCCCTGGGCCCCACCTGTACTTCTGGTAAGTACTCACTGGGCTCGAGGACGGCACAGTTATTACGTGTCGGACTCGAGTGGCCGGTGTAAAAGTTGTAGCATGTAGGGGCGGCGGGCCCCCTTTCTCGGCCGGGCCCTCGGACCATGTTTCCAGCTCCACATGATGAGCCACAAAGCCACCCAGCATCCACACAAAAACGTGAAATCATCATGTTGAATCGTTGTGTGGCAGCCCCCCAAGCTGGACGAGGAATGACTTCAGACCACACCAGCGTGACGTCACTGAACAGCGCCATACACCGAGCCAAATCGTGCTTGCAAGCATAAATTAAATCTACCTCACATCATTCCGACATGAATCCCGCATGAATCACCAGAACCATTGGCCCGGTCACAAAGCGACGGAGCGTGATGCACTCCAGATACATTTGGTGCCAACCCAAACCCCGTATCCCCCGCCATTGTACCCAAACCTGCTCATATGGGAGCCCTAGATTCCGGCCGTACGATCTCTGCTCTGCACGCCTAGATGCCCAATAAATGAAGGAGTTACCGATGATCCAAACATACTGGGGGGAACCTGTAGAGAAAAAACAGCACAGCATAATCCACCAAAGCCCTACAACAGGTGAGGACGAATATGCAACTGAAACCTGCGGGAATCCCATCGACCCATGCGCTGAATTGCAGCATCGGACAGTCCTACCTGCCACTCCTGCGTCACTGCACCAATCCGAAAGGAGTGGGGAGAGTTTCCTTATCCTCCACACTCAATGCCCGCAACCCGGCCTTAAAAACACTGGAGAACTGAGACCGAGTTAAGAGTGGCCCATTTGCGTGTAGCAAAAGGGACTCTGCTGCCTCCGGCCGTAAATGTAAATATTGCCCTACCAGCGCCATCGGACACCACCTACCCCCAGTAGCACCAATGCTAACCAACCTCCCACATCCTAGCTGATCTGTTTTGGACCTCCGAATGAACAACTCCACTCCACCCTGCCCCATGCGAACATGCCTGGGCCATAGCAGCCACCAACTCCCCTAACCGCAGCGCTTCGGAAGCGGAGAAGCACACCGACGAGAGAACACCGCACAGTGCATCCAACAGGTTACAATCCAGAACTCTTTCCTTCCTCCATCCCCGAAGCACCTTCTGGACCACGAACTCTTTTGAAACGTCCTCCCACCCCATACAACGCATCAGAAAGGAAAGAGCCACTAAAATGCATTCCACCGATGCTGTGCACTCCCGTAAGGTTGACAGGTAAGCCAAAGTAGGCAGCAACCTATTCTCAGCGGAATACAAACCAAACTCTCCCGCATAGTGAAACCACAACTCCCACACTACCCGATAGGCTGTCCACGAAGCGGGAGCCAGCGATCTCCTAAACAGGTCTGCTAGGTTCCGAAATCGAGGGTCCACAATCACGTGGTACATACCAGACCATCAGCCCCTTCGCTCCCGGAGCGGCCTCCCGAAAATGATCCTACTGAAAGCGAGAAAGAGAATCGGCAATAACATTAGACAACCCGGGAACATGCATTGCTCGGAACCAAATGTTAAACTCCAGATAACACAGCACCAACCGACGCAACAAAGCCAATACTGGAACCGAGCCCAATGATAAATGATTCACCACATGGGCCACACTCATGTTGTCCATGCGGAAAATCACCTGCCTGTTCGCGAGCTCCGCCCCCCACAATTCCACCGCTACCACAATAGTGAAAAACTCAAGAAAAGTCACGTTCCGTATCTGGTCCGCCTTGTGCCACGCTGCTGGCCAAGGCTCTACACACCAACGTCCCCGAAAAAATGCCCCGAAGCCCAAGGAGCCAGAGGCATCCGTGAACAACCCCAGGGCCACATTAGATATTGCTTCCAGTCGTCAAAACGTCCGACCATTGTACCCCTCTAGGAACTCACCCCAGACCCTCAAATCGTCCTTAAGCTGCTTGGTAACCCGGGTAAAGTGATGGGGAAGGCTAATGCCGACGGCAGCCAGAGACAGCCAACTACAAAACACCCGACTCATAGGCATGATCCGACACGCAAAGTTCAGGTGGCCCAACAGTGATTGCATCTGCCGAAGCTGCACTTTCCGCGCACCCCTCACCTGATCAACCATGGTGGTAAGGATCCCCAAGTTGTCCACAGGCAAATGAAAAACCAAGCTGTTGGATTCAATCTCAATACCCAGAAAGGAAATCACCGCCTTTGGGCCCTCTGTCTTGTCCTCTGCCCCTGGAAAACCCAAATCTAGCATAACCACCATAAACTGTCCCAACAAATCCTCACACCACGAAGAATGTGCAGGACCAACGAACAAGAAATCGTTGAGATAATGCAAGAGGGAAGAAAAGCCATGATCCATTCCAACAAATAACTAAAAACTTCAAAAAAAAACAAGAAATCAAGCAACTCATGGGAAGGCACATGCAAAAAATCTCCTTAAAACTGACACCCCAACAAATGAAAACAGGTAGGTTGAACTGGGAGCAACCGAAAAGCTGACTGAATGTCCGACTTAGCCATCAGGGCCCTGGGCCCTGCTTCCCGAACGAGATCCAGAGCCCAATCAAATGAAGCGTATCGGACCCGACTGTCCTCCTTCGATATCCCGTTGTCAACCGAAGACCCCTCTGGAAAAGACAGGTGATAATTAAGCCGAAATGACCCCGGTTCCTTCTTAGGAACCAGGCCCAATGGGGACACCCGCAAATTATCAAACGGGGAATGGAAAACAGACCCGCCATCCATCCCATCACCACCTCCTTTCTCAGCTTAGCTGCCAGCACCCCTTCCTTACCCCGAACAGAGGACAAATTGTGTACAAATGACGCCTCCCCAGACGGAGTAAATGGGATCCGAAAACCCTCGGTAAATGTTTAAATCGACAACTGCTGTAACATCTGCAATGGCTCTCACCATCTTCTGCCTAAACCAGCACTGTCCCCCGTAAACTTTATAACCCCCATATTAAGTCCCCCTTAAACTTTACAAGCTTACGACGGGGCCTGCTCCGGAAACCTTGCCGTCATAATCCTTGCAACCAATTTCCGAAGGTACAGGGAAGCTGCTTACCTTTTTCACTCTCCATCGCCAGACGGAGTAAATGGGATCTGAAAACCCTCGGTAAAACCTTACCATGGCACCCGTGTGTCCCTACGGCTGACATACTGTGCGAGCCACGGCAACAGTCTTTCTGCCCGCACCGGGGTCCTCCCCCCGAGGAACGTCACCCTGGGGAGGGGTTTTCCTCTCCTAAAACATCAAACCGCCGGGTGAGCAACTCCACAGTGCAAGCACTCATGTTTAAATCGACAACTGCTGTAACATCTGCAATGGCTCTCGCCATCTTCTGCCTAAACCAGCACTGTCCCCCGTAAACTTTATAAGCCCCCATATTAAGTCCCCCTTAAACTTTATAAGCTTACGACGGGGCCCGCTCTGGAAGCCTTGCCATCATAATCCTTACAACCAATTTCCGAAGGTACAGGGAAGCTGCTTACCTTTTTCACTCTCCGTCGCCTCACCACGTCTTTTCCTCACCTCTAACGACACATGCATCCCCGGGGGGGGGCGATGTCACACACCTGCCCCCCTGAACTACCCCCTACTGTACCCAATGGAGGAGTCCCCGCTAGGGACTTCACCAGTGGCTCCCACCTATCAATCTCAGCCCACCTGAAGCTGATGACCCAATTAGCCAGGTATAAGACATTGCCTCTCCCTAAGGGCAGTTCATATACTCTGGTTCCTGTGTTAGTATTCGTGATTCTAGTGTTCTCCAGTTGGCTCCTGACACTGGCTTTTTTATAGTGTATCCTGACTTCTGGCATCCTCTGACTTTGGCTTACCCTTGACGATTCTCCTACTTGTGTCCTTACCTGTACTGCGACTTTTAGCAATATCCTGCACAGCCCCCATGCACAGACTCACAGACCAGGTGAGTTCTTACCTGACCACCTTGGCCTGTGTTTAATTGCAAGGGTGAGCATAAATCTCTGCCTACCAGACTCCCAACTAATGTAAGCCATGACACCAGGGGTCCGGCGGCTCACCCCCATAAGAGCTCCAGATATTCTGGGGTGGGTGTTTGGAAGGGAATCCTGTCTCCCTCCCTGCTCCCTGGCCGATCCTTCAGTGTCAGATCTCCTGGGGTCGTCATTATGATGGGAATCCTGCGTCCCTCTCTGCTCCCTGGTTGACCAGACAGGTACCGGGGTTCGGTTCCAGAATTCCCGCTTCCATCTTCACCCGGACTTGTGTTCCGGCATGCGGCGCTGCGCCTCTTCCGGCATGCGGCCGCACGCCTTGACGTCCCTTCCGCCAATGCCGGAAAAAAAAGGGTGAGGACTCCTGTGACGAGACCAATCTCGCCACATTGCATTGGAGAAGCCTGGTTGCTCGCCTGCTGCCTCTGGACTATGGCCCCCTTTTAAAAGACTTTATTTCGCCTGCAGAAAAGCTGTATTCGTGCTTTTCTGCCGGTTGTTCGGTAGATTCAATCTACCGAACAACCGCACGAATGAATAGACCACCTGGGAGCTGGAGTGTGCCGGCAATTAACCTCCCTGAAGCTGCGGTTAACCGCAGCTTAATTGACGAATGCTGGGTGGCCGCCATTCGTATCCCGAACACGAGGTCGCGGCCATTTTAAACATACGAATGCACAGCGGTGTTCGCCCCTATTTTCATGGAACTAAAATCGGACACAGTTTTGCGCGAACACCGCTGAAGCCGCCGACCTCCCTTCTTGTTCGGTGGAAGTGCACGAACGGCCCAGTGTTCGGTAGTTTTGTTTGAATGTGTTATACCCCAGATAGGAATCCCATGGAGCCCATTCGTATGAAACTGACTGTAAAGACTTTGGCTCCATGGCGATTAAACTGTATTCGTGTGGTCTGAGTGCCATTCGCTTAATAATGTGCGCTCAGACCTGAGCTATCTGGGGATATGTTACATGTCTGTGTTTTATGTAATAAAT